ATCTGCAACTCAAAATTATGAAAGGGTCCCTTGGTGGATTAGAAACTGTGGAGATTTTCTAAAGATAAAATGCTGATGAAATGATGATGGGATTGGATTGAAGAAAGAAAAAACAGTCCAAAATGTGGATGGGAGAGCACCATGCCCAGAGGAAGGAGTGCCTGGGAGCTGACAGGACCAGGGCAGCTCAAACAGAGAACCACCAAGAGGAACAGCGTTTGGTCTCTATAAACCAAGCCCTGCCCACATTCACGCAAACACCAGACAGAGGTGACTGGGACATCTCCCTCCTGGCAGCACAGTGGATGTGGGCTGGAGTCAGAGAGAGAAGGCAGGGTCCCATGCACACCAGAGACTGGAGCACCCATGCCACAAAACCAACCTAGGCCATCCCCTGTTCCCAGCTGCCCAACCCTCCCCTTCCCCACTCACTCACATCCCACTCCTTCCCCAAGGAAGTAGCACTAACAGATACTAGAGAGCCCAACTCGGCTCCAACGAAGACAAGCCCAGTCAACAGTCAGCAAACTCTTGGGTAAGGCCAACACCATGAAAGAAGTGGAGCAGGCAACAAAAAGGAACTTACAGAGGCAAACTGTACTCACAGCAAGACCTAAACATAATCCAAATCCTCGGAGGAATAAGCGAGGGTCTGGCATCCAAGAAACAAGAACAGGCAGGCTGCGCTGAAAGAGAACCCATGCGAACGCTTGAAAATAAAAAATACCATAAAAGAAATTAAAAAATAAACAGATGAGCTGATAACAAAATAATGACAGTTTATAAGAATTACTGAGCTGGAAAACTGACCTGAGGGCTTCTTCTGGAATGCAGCCCAAGAGGAGGAAAATATGAATTGATTTATTTAAGAGATGTGGAAAATAAATTCTGAAGTTCCAGTATCCCTCTAATAGGTGTTCCAGAAAAAGAAAGTAGAATAGAGAGGGATTTTTTTAAAGAAATATTAAAACTAAAAAATAGAATAGAAAATAATATAATGTTGTGTTCCCACCAATCAGAACTGACAATTTATAATGTTTTACCGGGTGCGCATCGAGTAATATTTTTAGAGAACAAAACTACAGATAAAGCTGATGGTCCTTCTGACCCCCAATCCCCCTTCCCCACCTTTTTCCTTCAGGCAGCAACCACCACCATGAATTGGTGGATATCTTTCCAGTCCATTATTTTTATATATATACATGCGTATATATATATATATATATATATATATATATATACACACACACACATATATATATATGATGTGTATTATATAATATATATAATGTTGCATGAGGCTTTCAAGTTTACTTAAATAATAATATACTGTACATAGGGTGCTACAACCCAGGATTTTCACTCAGTAGTGTAAGTGTTAGCTTTCTCCACATTTATGAAGAGAAGACCAGTTAATTTCTCTGGACTGCTGTAGAATGTTTCACTGTATTCCTGACTATACCACATTTTTTTATATAGTACTTTATTTAATAGATGGATTTATGCAATAGTTCCAAATTTTTACCACCATGAAACAATGTAATAATATGTGCCTTATGCACTTGGATGAAGGTTTTTCCAAGTGTATATCTAGAAGGAGAATTGCAGGGTGATAGGGTAGATAGATTCTGGCAAACTGCTCTTCAGTTTGTACTCCAACAAGTAGTGTATGGCTGTCCCCATTTTTCCTCAACCTCACCAATACTTAATATTTTTACTTTTTAATTTTACCAGTCTGATGGATGAGAAGTGATACCTCATTATAACTTTTATTTGCATGACCTTGATTTCTAGTCAGCTTGACCATCCTTTCATAGTCTACTGGCCATTTGGGATTCCTTTTCTATGAATTGTCTTTGCCTTTTTTTTTAATTGAGATATAGTTGACATATAACATTATACTAGCTTCAGGTATATAATATAATGATTCAATATACTGAAAATGATCACCACAATAAGTCTAGTTAATATTCATCACCACACATAGTTATATATATTTTTCTTTTGTTGGGTACTTTCAAGATCTACTCTCTCAGCAACCTTCAAATATACAATACAGTATTACTAACCATAGTTACCATGCTGTACATTACATCCCCAGGAATTATTTATCTTACAACTGGAAGTTTATACTTTTTCACCCTTCACCCATTTCACCCACCCACCCCCTCCCTAAGTCCTTTTTCAGTTGCATTTATAGTGTTTTTTCATACAAAAGTTTTAAATTTTTACATAGTCAAATGTATTCATCTGATGGGAGATACTTCTTTTTAAAGAACGGGTGTTTCTTGAACCTAAGAAAACCGAGTCCTCAGAATTGAGAGAACACACAGAGTACTAAGCAGACTAAATCTAATAAATGCCCATTTGGATCCATAGTACTGAAAGTTCAGCTGTTTGGGGTCGGGGGGAATTGTTGTCTGTGCTACTGTTTGCAACGGGAGAAGAGAGAGGGGGAGCTCTGGGTACTGGGAGAAACCGGCAAAGAACTGAGGTCTCGCACATTCACCGGTTTCAGGCTGTCCTTCGTAGCCACTTCACAAGTCTCCAGTTCCTTGAGACATTAAACAGAATTCTGGAGACTCATTAGGGAGCATGGATGGAAGGATTTTGTTGTTACTGTTATTTTGTTTTGTTTTGTTTTGTTTAAACACAAAAACTAACAATTCAGAGTTCACAAAGCATTGTTTACACATTAGGCTGAAGCATCTGAAATTGCCATTTCTGTAGAGTGAAAGAGCATTGAATGCTGGCAGTGTCCTAGAGTTCAACCTAACACATGATTTCATTTCATACTGAACGCTGTGAGATTTGCACTATTATTATCAACATTTTTTTTTAGAGATGAGCAGCCGGTGGGACAGGGAGCTTAAGTCGGCCGACGGGGGCTTTATGGCAGAGGTGAGCTCTTTGGGCAGGGCTTCCTCTGTCTGAGAGATGGGAAACACACTTCATGTTCCTCTCTCCCGCAGGAAGATTGTGCCTGTCACGGATGTCACCTGTCTTCTGGGGAGATTAAGCTCAAGATAATCAGTGGCAAGAAATGGCCTTTGCCCGCAGCACTTGACCTCGACCTTCAGACAGACAACATGCTTCAGGCACGACATATGAGCTGGAGGAAAGTGTGTCAGGGCGAGAGTGGACTGCAAACCAGAGACCATCCGGTGAGCAGGGGAGAAAGAATGATTGTTGTGCACGTCCCAGCTGCTAAATGCTACGTTCAGAACCCTAAGTGACTGGTGGGCAGTTTCCTTGCACCAACAGTATTCCAGGAGAAAAGCCTCCAGGACCTGGGTGACATCTTCAGCAGGCCCGAGATTTTCTGCTCATTTTTAGAACAGGGTCTGCAGTCACTTTGGGTCGCAAACACAGTCTCAATTCAGTAATTGGAATGCTAATGCAAGGTATTCATCAAAACTCTCAACTTATTTTTACCTTAAATCCTCTCTCTTCCCCCAGCCTGGGCCTGCCCAGCTGGACCCCGCAGTGGGGACGGTAGAGAGGAGTTGGCTTCTTCCATCGTTTTCCACTGGGCCTCCCCAGCCAGTTGCCATGGCTACAACTCTGCTGCTCCATGGGCGCAGGCGGGGAAGGGGCAGAAACAGCTGGCGGTTGACTTCAGGCTTCCTCGCCAGGCAGATGTTAAATTCTGCCTCTCTCTCACGGAGTGCTTTAATGCCCTCTCCACGAGGCTACCCACTCAGCCTCTTTCTCCCGAAGTTCCCTCCAACCTGTGAATGTATCTCAAGTCCAATCTCATTTCTGGTGGTCACCTGGGGCCCCTTCCTCGGCACCAACCTTTAGCTAGTGGGGTCCCTCCACACAGGACCCAAGACATGGAGCCCTCACAGGCTCGCTGCTGTGAGGCCCACCTCTGTCTAGCAGCAATTCCCATTCTTCCTGTACCCCCAAAAAAACTCTGGGAGTGCAGGGGGTCCTAGGGTGGTGGAAGCAGCCCAACCCATGCAGCTAGTGAGCCCTCCTCTCACTTTCCAGATTCCCCAGGTGGGACCAGAGCCCAGGCCACCACGCCCCAGCTCTAGGGGTCACATGTTAAGCTCTTGGAATAGCGTCCCCACAGGCAATCATCCTCAGTAGGTTTGAGGTGAGGAAGCAGGCACTCACCCTGCCCCCAAGATGGGACTCACAGCCCAGCTTTCTTCAAGGAAATCCTCCTCACAAAATCCTTCTGCCTCCTCTGTTTCTACTTTTTCAGAGTCTCAGTGGAGCCAAGGGGTTTCAAAAGTCTTGGAACAGATGTTGGCATTTCCTGAGAAAATCTCATAAGGTGACTTGGCATCACGCTTTGGATTTTCACATCTATGATACGTATTAGTACCTCGTGGAAAATTTAGTCTTAAGGCCCTGTTGCATTTATATGCATTGACTCTTTACGTTCATAGGTACAAATAACATTTTTTTTCATTTTAAAGATGAGGAAAACTTGCAACTTGCCTGGCGGTCCAATGGTTGAGACTCCATGCTTCCACGGCAGGGGGCGCAGGTTCTATCCTTAGTAAGGGAAATAAGATCCCACATGCTGCGTGGCACAACTGGAAAAAAAAACAAAAGGTAGGAAAAAAAGGTGAGGAAAACTCATCTCCGCGGACTTAAAGAGGTAAGGCCAAGGTCACCCAACCAGTCAGTGATGGAGCTGGGATTCCAATCAGGTCTGTCTGGGGTCATCTGGGAGGTACATGCCCACTGGCCTTGAGCCCAAGGAAAGAATCTGAAGACCCAGAGGGAAGTGCTTCCTTCATTTAACACCCAGGCTCCAAGAGGCTCTGGGCTACTATATAGCTGATATAGGTCAGCTCCTGCGGCTTAGTCCAGCCTACACCCTCACAGGACACATTCTGGGACCTAGTTGCAGAGAGAGGGGTGGGAGGACCGGGGTGTGGGAAGGACCGATAATTCTACTGACCTGGCAACAACCCCATCTAAATGTGACTCTCGACTCAGAGGAGGGTGACAGGAGGGCGCCAGGAGGGCTGACTCACCTAGTCCATCATCCAAGCCAAACACTGTGAGGAAAGGGCTCAGCTCAGCCAAGACTGTAACTGCAGGAGGATGGGGATTCTGTGCTGGGATCCCAGCCATGCCTTTGCCTCAGCGTTTTCTTGGTGTGTTTGGGCCTCCTTTTCTCCATGACTTCCGTGAGCTTGGGAACAAGGCATGCTGGGACTTCAACAGGTGGTCCAGAACCATCACAGGAAGGTGCTGAGAGGTGAGAGATGGAGGAACTGACTAAGCTGGTCCTTATAGGAGGGGGAAGATACGGCACTGGCCAGATCCCAAGATGGGCTTAGTTTGGTCTCCAGTGAGGTCCAGTCTGGTGGGCGTTTCCAACACAGCAGCTAAGAAACCATGTTCTATCCACGATGGAATGACTATTGAACACCATGGCACAGAACGCTTAATTGTACGGAGAGATATTTACAATATGTTATTAAGTGAAGACTATGTAGAGCAGGATCCTATCTTTATAAAAGCAGTGTTGTTGCTTGAACAAGTGTTTCTAGAGGACAAGCCTAAAAGGTGCAGTCCGAGTTCTTGGCTCTGTTGATCACTGTGGGTCCCGAGATTACACCCCTTCAAATAAGTTTCTTATTTATCCTCAGGCTGACCCGAAGGTTTGAGGTCAGTACAGGGTCCAGCCCCTTCTACTTCCTACGGTCAGAGCCACTCACCTCCCTCTCTCCTACAGCCCCTTTCAAGGATCTGCTGGCCAGTCTTCTGTACCCTCCAAATACGAAGGGAGCTGTCATACCCCCATGTCATTTCCGCAGACAACTGGGCCACTCATTGGGCACCCATCTGTTGAATGATCCCTTCAGGGATTCCAGGAAGCCCCTCCCAATCCTACCCCCAATTTCTGATGGGGGCTGCTTCCCTGAGGCCAGAATGTGTTTTGGGCACTTTCTCAATGAAGAATACATATGTGCGCGTGCGCGCGCGCGCACACACACACACACACACACACACACACACACACGTTTAATCTAGGACAATCTACCTTGAAACAAAAACACAAACACACATATAAATGTTTTGTTTTCTATATGCAACAGGCTCATAATAGGTATATTGTCCTGCCTCTAGGATTGAGCTAAATTCATACATAGGTCTGAAACATTTCTCCAAGGAAACAGTCTGCAGAGATGCAAATCTGCTGCCCCACTACAAAGATGATCTTTCAATACGTTGTGCAAGACAGCCTGGCTTCTCCAGGTCACAGTGTCTCAAACCTCTGCATGACAGAAGAGGGTCTTTGAATGACTTGCACAACTAAAGACCCATAGGGAGATTGCTCAGGACAAGGGGGTGAGGTCACACAGCTATCTCCTTACACTGAGAACTGTTTTTCTTGCAGCTCCAAAATTGCAAGGTGTAGATTCTGTTGGGTTGGTTTGTTCTTATTCTTTCAATCAGAAGGAAGAACTGGCTTCCTCTGTTATGTATTTATGCCTATATATGTATGCTTAGAGAAAACTCTAGAAGGAAATACAACAAAATATTAAAAGTGGTTATGGCAAGGGCTTGGAATTGTTCTCATTTTCTTTTATTGTTACCTGTGTTTTCCATAATAAATGTTCCTTCTCTACTTTGCCAAAGAAGTCAAAGCCATTTTCTTGAACTGCCTCAAAGTTCTGTTGCCTTCTCTCTACCCCTCCCTTATGTCTATACCCATCTCTGTGTTCACATTCGTCCTTCTCTCCTTCCCTCGAAAACCAGAGACCAAGGCAGACTTTCCTTCTGTGTCTTACTGCCTCTCATTATGTTCTTACTATGCCTAATATGTAAGACTGATCTATTAATACATTACAGACGTGTTGTCAGTAGTCATACCCCTAATAAATAAGAGCTCAATAAAAAATAATGATGATCATTGTTTTGACTCTTGGTATCTCAGTTTACCTCATCTGTAAAATGGGGTACAGTACCTACCTCATAGGTTTGTTGTAAGGATTAAATGAATTAAATATATGTTAAGCACTTAGAAGAGCACCTGTACATAGTAGGTGCTCTGTAAGTGTTTGCTAGTCTTAGTGTTACTAGTACTAATTAGCATTGTTAGTATTAGTGCATTCATCCATTTCTGCCAAAACCTTGACTCATTAGTTATCTCCCTCTCTCTCCCATATTTAAGCCTCTTTCTGTCTTAAAATTCCTTCCCTTAGTTTATTCAGAGTCAACTATGTCCCACCCCCCAAATTCATCCCGTGATATTACTGACCTATCTCTGTCCGCCCTTCAAGTCCAGGCATCTGGGAAAAGAGGGTTTGGAGATTCGCTCTTCCACTTGTGCTCACATTCAGCTCACCATCGCTCACGGCACAATGCAATCTGCTTCCCCCTCACCTCTCCAGTGAAACTCCTCCAGCGAAGACCACAAGTACCCTTCCTTTGCCAAACTCAAAGGACACTATTCAGTTTTTACCTTTCTGGACCTTTCTTCCTTGTCTGACCTCACCGAACTACACTCTTTCCTGAAACTGTTTTTCTTGGCGCCCCTGGTCTCCTCCTTCTCTGGACTCGGCCTCCTTGCCTGGGTTCTTTCTCTTCCCTCAGTCCTTAAATGCTCATGCTCGCCAGGGTCCATCTGCAGCCACCCGCCTCCCCAGGGAAGCTTATCACTGCCTCACTACTCATCTCCTTCTCCTGGAATAACCAACTCTGCACTTCTAGCTCTGGTGTTTCCCCTAAGCTGTAGACCCATATATCCTAGTACACGCTGGATACTTACACCTGGAGGTCTCACATCACTGTCTGAAATTATACTCATCATCTCCTTAAACCTATGTGCCCTTCAGGGTTCCTATCTAAACAGATAAAATGTCAGGTGGTGACTCCACCACCACTATCCCCCAGTGAGAGGCTCAGGAAACCTTCTAGGCTTCCCTCTAATCATGATCCACCAGCACAGCTCATTTCTCTAGCTTTTCTCAAGCCTGTCTACATCTCTCCACAGTCCACGTCAGAGAGCGGCAGTGAAAGCCTCAGTCTCTCTCCATCCTCCTCCTAACCTTCCTCTTTCCGCATTCCCCTCTTTCTCTATTTACTCATTCAGTCAGTCGTCAGTCAGTCAGTCAGTCAACAAGCACGGGTTGAACGTCTACACTATGCCAGGCTCTAAGAATATGGAAAGGAAAAAGACCACACCCCTGAGGGAGCTCAGGATTTAGTGGGAGAGGCCACCATCAACCCCAGTGTCATGAAATATGGACACACAGGGAGCTTAGGAGTCCTTCTGTCTGAACTGACAGTTATACAGATCTGGATTATGATGATTTTTACTACAATCTTTCAAAGGAGTAAAGACACTTACATCTAAGTATCCAACACCCAGCTCTATGGGATTCTGATATTTATCTTTCCTCTGTGTGTTTATACTGCATACTATATATATGTAACTATATATAATATCCATGTTTTCAAATTTCATGCAAAATGTATCACACTCTATATGTCATTTCACAGTGATTTTTTTCTCAACATTATGGTTTTGAGATTTATCCATATTTATAGATGTATATTTTCACTGCTTTGTAGTATTCCACTTATTTATTCATTCTCTCGGTGGATACGTAGATGATTTCCAGTATTTCCCCATTATGAGCAATGTTATAGTGGATTCTTATACACGTACTGTTTCCTAGTGCATATGTGAGGATTTCTCTAGAAGTCAACTGCAGAGTTGAAGGACATGCACATCTGAAGTTTGTCAGACGTTGCCAAATCGCTCTTCAAAGTGGTTGTACCAATTTATTTTCCCACTAGCTGCCTATGAGAGTTTCTGTTTATCTACTCTACATCTTTGTAAATACTTGGTAGTATCCCTTTTTAATTACTTTACCAGTCTGATGGGTGTGAAATGTTATCTCATGTAGTTTAAATTTTTATTTCCTTGATTATTAATGAAGTAGCCCATTCAGATTTCTTTTTCTCTTAATTGCCCTTTCATACTTTATGCATATTTTTCTATTCTATTTTTTATCTCTTTCCTATTTCATTTGTAGAATTTTTTTACAAATTGTAGATACTAATCTTTTGTCAGTTCGCTGAGTAGCAAATACCCTCCCCTAGTCTGAGTCTTATCCTCAAGTTTCTTTAAGAAGTCTTTTTTGAACAGAAGTAGTTCATTTAAAACAGATAAGGCATCATTCATTCCTTTTGTGATCTATTTTTGTGTCCTGTTTAAGAAATCATTACCTGCCCAAAAGTCATCTCTCCATATTTATTCTAAAAGCTTTAAAGATTAGTTTTTTAGTTCTTTATTTTGGAGTATGGAACTAGGAGCCTAATTTGATATTCTTCCATGTGGATAACCAATTTTCCAAGCATCATTTATTTTAAAAGTAATTTCTTTCCCCTACTGATTTGAAATATCAGCTGTTGTGTATCTTTTCCATATGTGTGTGGGTCTCTTCCTGGGCTCTCTGTTCTGCCTCACCACCCCACTCTCTAATTACTATTCCTTTACAATACCACTAAGTCTTCTTATCTTGTAGGTTAAGTCTTGCTTCCATCCCACCTCCTTGTGTTCTTTTCCAAAATTATCTAGCTCTTGCTCTTCCATGTGAATTTTAAGATCACTTAGACAAATTCCATCAAAAAAACACTTCATTGAAATTTTGATTGAAATTTAATTAAATTTATAGATTGTTTGAGAGAAATTGGCATGAACATTGAGTCTTCTGATCCATGAACATATGTCTCTTCATTTATTTTCAGATCATTTTTGGCTTCTTCCCACAATATTTTGTCATTCTTTTCCATAAAAACTTTCCTATCTTCTGTTAGATTAATCACTGAGCACTTCACAACTTCATCTTGTCATTATGAATGAGATCTTTTTTTTTTCTATTACATTTTCTAACTGGTCATGATTGATGAGTAGGAAGACTAGTAATTTGGGGGGAATTCCCTGGCAGTCCAGTGGTTAGGACTTGGCGCTTTCAATTCCTGGTCGGGGAACTAAGATTCCACAAGCCATGCGGCATGGCTGAGGGGGGGGAAAAGAAAGTCAAGACTAGTAATTTTTCTATGTTGACCTTGTGTCAAGCAATATAGCTGAATTAATTTAATACTTTAATAGTTTATCTGTAAATTCTTTTGAATTATCTATGTAGACAATTGTATTCTGCAAAAGAGAATACTTGCATTTCTTCCTTTCCAATTCTTCTACGTCTTCTTTTTTCCCTTGGGTTGTTGCATGGGCAAGGTTCTCCAATGTGAAAAAGAAGTGACGATAGTAGGCATCCTTGTCTTACTCCCGAGTTTAAAAGAAATGCTTCTGAAATTGTGCTATGTGAGTATGCTTGCTGTTGATTATTGATGGATAACTTTGCCATGTTCAAAAAGCTTCCTTCTAAGCCCAGTCTGGTAAGTTTTATCCTAAATGGATTTAAAATTTCATCAAACGCTTTCTCTGCATCTGTTAAGATGAACATATATTCTCTCCTTTAATTTTTTGATATAGTGAATCACATTAATAAATTTTCCTAAGTTAAACATTCTTGAATTCTGGGATAAACTCTAATTATACACCACTTAATTCATTTTGCTAGTATTTAATTTCTAACTTTTGCATCTAGGTGCTCAAGTGAGTGTATCAGTTCTCCATTGCAATAATAATAATTGTCCCAAACTCACTGATTAAAAAACAATAAACATTTATTACATCTCGGTTCCGTGTGTCAGGAATACGGGAGCAATGTAGCTGGGTGGTTCTGTCTGGTGGTCTCTCATGAGTTGCGGTTAAGACATTGGCCAATGCT